CTTTTAGTTTTGGTATAGATATCATGGTGGCCTCGACGGCCCAATCAGGACTTCTGTGCTAGTTGGCTATTTATTTATATGATCTCCTGGGAGTAGCTGTTTCTTTTATAGATCAGTTGACAGGGGCCTTGCCGGTCGAGGGCTTAGTTTTAAGTCGAGATATACTTGTTTGTTTTCTTGATTGTGTGTGGCTGCCATGTGCTAGTAGCAAATGGTTCAGCAGGGTCGGCTCGGACTTGAGTTTTGGCCTTAGGAGCCAGTTGCGCCCCTCGAGTTTGGGGCGTGACAGTTACAGTCCTGCATAATTATCACTCGTGAAATATAAATCATTCCAAGTTTCTATCCTCCCCTCTACAGAGCATTTGGAATAAACTAGAGAGGTAATAATTTGTTTTCCATCCTCCAGGGTGAGTTGGAGAGTCATCTATTGAGCAGTATTTGACATCACCCCAACCTGAATATGGTCCTACACAAATACCCATAACTGCCCATTTAAATTATAATTCACATACTGCATCCCCAATATCCTTTTGAACTTTCGTATATGCCTAGTGTCTTGAAATGGTTCCAGTAGAGCAATTAAAAAGAATTGTGAGTCTGTGTAACATCTGAACTCTGTGGAATGCATTTTGAGGTTTCGCCGACCTTATGTTCCAAAAAAGTGCATTCATTATTATTTGATTGATGACTTCACCACCCTCTTGTCCTGTATTCTTGTTGGTTGAACATTAACCTCCTCTTTAGGTTTACCTTTTTTTGCTTTTAGATATGGCTAAAAGAGAGAGTCCAGCCTCTTTGTATACCTCAATTACATTTTGGACATTGTTTCCCTCATCTTTATCTTTTATGAATTCAACACTGGTATCATTTCTCTCCACCACCTTATTGCCTTGACTTTGGTGTGATATTAGTGAATGTAATGTTTCTATAGGGGCAGATTTGACGCTGCATATAACTACTGCTGACTTTTTATTTATTGTTGTATCAGGTAGTAACACATATTCAGCTGGATATCTTTCTTCAAATGTGGAATTTGCAATTTGAAGGGGTGTTTGAAACTGCGTCTCTACTAACTCCTTCATGAGTAATCTTTCTTCCTCATATTTCTGTGTTATCCTCACCAGTGCCAAATTACTTGGCTCATTGTGATGATGTTGATTGAGGCTGCTAACCGATGAGCTGTTTTGTGCAGGTGTCTCACCCCCTCTTATCTCTCCATCTTCTATCCACTATTGATGATCTCTCTGTTGATCTTCATCCCTTATTTCTCCATTGTGAAATGTTGTTATTTTATTACCATTGTCACTTTTCGAGGTGCTATTTATAGTGTTTGCTTTCTCACCCCCTCTTTCTTGATAATTAGCAAATGTATTAGTTATCCATTCTTGTGTAGAAGAATGATGGAGTCCCTTATCAACCTGGCCTCCTTGACTTCACTGGCTTGATCATTTACATTGTCGTTCCCTCCAGTAGATTCCTCAAGCTGCTCTATTTCATTTTCTTCAGTTAGTGCATCAAAAGAATTTTTGGTATTAATACTTGTTATTGCTATGCCTTTATCCCTTTTTTCTTGATCAGAACTATGCTTGCGAGGTTCTTTAATATTGACTGGCTTCCAGTATCTTCGAATTATTCTTCTTCTTCTTGATGCAACTTCATTGCCCTGCTCTTCATTGCCAGTACCTTTTTGCTCCTGATCAGACTCCTTTTCATTGTTCACATTGATATTCCTTAGCTCTGGGTGTAGGTTTCTGCATGATTCATCATCATGTCCATGCACTTTGCATTATTTGCAATATTTTGGTAGCATATCATACTGTATCTTGACCTTTTCGAGCCTAGACTCCTTTGTTGCCTCATTAATAATCTCCAATTCAACAAACTTAAGAAATTCGCCCAGAATGTCTACTTACACCTTGACCGTTGCACAACTAGGTCTAGTCTTGTTTATTGTAGCCATGTCTAAATGTAAAGGTTTTCCAACATCAGTCGCTAGTTAGAGCAACACTTCCTTCACAAAGTAAGTAGGTTTGAGATCAGGGAAGGATATCCAGGCCATAGCTTGTGTTGTCTCTTCCTCAACTTTGAATTTAGCATCATATATCAGTGGCCTCATAGAATATGAATACCCGTCCTTAGCCAGAATATAATAAATACTTTTGACATTAGATTGATGAAATCTGCCTTTTGATCCAATCTAATGAGTATATGTCGATTTCTCAACAGACCAATTTTACACTCCCCCTTGATATTACACTGATGTGGTAAGATGGTGCGGAGTTCTTCCAACTCTGGCCAGCTATAGGAAAATTTTCCAATCACAGCGTATTGAATATCTTTCAATATATTCGTTCTATCCACTTCCTCCTCTGTCCAACCTAATCTTGGGATTCCATTATTATATGATAATTCTTCATTGGAATAGGTTCAATTCCAGTTTTCGACCTTGAGTTGTGTTATGATTTGTGAGAGTGTTTGCATAATTAGAAATTATCGAATGACTAACATTAGGCAGTGAAGCAGACTTGGTAGGCAAATTTAGTTCTTCACCTAAGTTATACTGAATCAATGGTGGAAAGCTATTGTCTTGTAATAGATTCGACTGGCAACCCCCAAGAGTAGACTGACCAGTGGCCAGAGCGACCATGAACAGTGAGGGATTAGGTTAACTACGAGGTGGCGGCGCTAATTCAAATCTCTAATTCAACATATCTTCTTCATTCCTGCAATGCCAAGGAAAAATGACCTTCAGAGTCGTTACAAGTGTAAAAGTAGACTAGTATCCATGTTGTGCACGGGCCCAACTATTAAGGATAATTTGAAAAAATATTTTAGATGTTTTAATTTTTTGTATTGTACATGTATAAGAGTATTTGAATGAGAAAAGAGTCAAATTTACCCATGTACTCTTAGAAAAGGGTTATATTTACCCTTCGTTATACTTTTTTGATATATTAACCTTTGCCATCCAACTTTAGGTACATATTTTCCCTTGGATAGTTAAGTACCATGTCACCACTTTTGTTATCCTCTGTGACGCATATATGGCTCCTACATGGATGTATATTTTTTATAATTAATATTTTACTTCCTATTTAATATTCTACTCGACCCACTTAGTAAAATCCAACCCACTTAGTACTACACCCAGTGTACTAAAAAATAATGGTAAACTGTAATAAAACCTATATATTACCGCAGAAAAAATGAAATAGGAAGTAATTACTTCGTACTGTAATTACTACTAATTACTTTCTGTGGCCTCATCTTATATAATCAAACAACGAAAAGAACAAACTAATTAAGGCTACCAAACCACTTCCAACCCCATTCAATGAAGGAACAAAATCCATTAAATTAAGGGAAAATTTTCAAAATAGCAATATTTTAGCTTCTAATAGGACCCCTTAGCCATAGTTTTACTATTTATTTAAAATGTAAATATTTTAGTTTGTTAAGGGCTGAGTTATGTATTTTATTTTGATTAATTTGAAAGAATACAATTAGTTAATAACAAAAAGGAGAAGATCATGGGAGAGAATATTTTAAAAAAGGTGAAATCATTGAAATTCCTCTCATCAGTTACATTCAAAGGAAAAAAGGAGACAGTGTCTCCTCTCGCCTTTGTTTCTCGAATTTCCAACTCTCTCTTGTTCATCAAATTTTCAATATCGATTTTTAACCCTCCATTGATAATACACAATCTAAATCGAAGTGAATTCGATTGATTTTGCGATTTTTTTTTCAAAGGGAACAAATTTTTTGAAATAATTGATTAGGAATTCATTGACAAACAATCAACAGGACACGAAATTTCCAACTTGATCTTCCACATAATTGGTAAAATATAAAATCCATTAGGTATTTGTTGACTGTTGAATCATAAATTAATTTGAAAGTGTTCCGAAAATGGCTATTAAAAGTTTTGACATGAATACATCTTTATTTTCTTAGATATTTGTTTTTTGGGGGATAAAAGCAGTGAAATATTTGTATGTATTTAAAATCGTTAGTATGTTTGCTTGTTCGTAATCAATGTAGTAATTTACTTGGTATGATTGTAGAGAGATACTGAGATACATTATGAGGAAAGAAATACAAAACTTTTGATGGCATACAGTTAGAATGAATGCAAATAAAGAAGAAATACAAACAAAATTATGTTGTATTCTAGATAATCAACTAGAAGACACTATTATGAATTACTAACTTGTATCTAATACGCTCAAATTACACCTCCATAAAGAAGTATAAGCGATCGTTATCAAGTAAAGAACCCAACTTGTAGGTTGGGGTCGATCCCACGAGGAAAATGATTTAGACTTTACTTTAACCAACAATTATATTCAATTAGCCAAAGTACTTCCAGAAACAAGAAATAAAAAGGGGGGATTTGTGAAACAAATTGTAAGAATTCAGTAAGTAATCAATAAACAAAAGT